GTGTTGGAAAGAAATGACACCCACCTCTCCCACAGGGGAATTGTAGAAAAGGGGAGAGGCAAAAGGGGTACACTGTATTTATAGGGTTACACCAAAGAAGAAGAAGAAAAGAATGAGGAGGGGCTCTAACTGATAGTGAACATAACTACAAGCTTGGAGGTCCTAAAAGTCAGGTATAAAAGGAACAGTTTGGGGGTTTAGAACACATTTTGTGTAATTATAACAATGTGATTTATGACCCTGTTACACACCCATAATTTTGATGTACATGTACAATGACATTAAAGGGCTATTCTATTCTATTCTATTCTATTCTATTCTTCTAGTGAGTGTTATTACTTGCTGGCAGGTTGGTGTGAAATCCCTGCTGATGGAACTGTTTGTGATGTAATGATCATGAAATAAATACAGGATATGTAACAAAGATTTTTGTTTTTGTTTTTATTTACACCTATGACATCACAGAGGCTTCTCACTGACTCTTAAATGAACTCTAAAACACATAAAACATCCACCTGCGTGTCTCCATATGGCCGCTAGAGGGCAGTGTGACACATGAAACCCAGCAGGTGAGGCGCGAGTCCTGCGGAGTACATCTGCAGCAAGCAGAAGAAATAAGAAGCACAAATATAAAAGCCTTGCGTGTTTCTTTTAGCAGCCTTTGAGCTTCAGCCACAGGTGAGCTGTGACATCTGGGCAACATCTGGCCCTGAGAACATGTGTCGGCTCTGGATGCAGCTTTGGGCCAAATTTCAGAGCGCAGTCAAAGATCCGCGCCTCGCTGGTGCCACAGGGTCCCGACTGCTCCTCTGGGCCGGATCATCACGGCCACATGTTTGTGGGTGATCAGTGAGTGACAGGGATGTATTCCTCCGCCTTCCGGTATAGTTCCCCGACCGTGTGAGTATCTCGGAGTTGTGATAATTAATGCAGCTCATTCATTATCCTCAGGTGTGTGTGGGGGCGTGTTCTCCGGTCGGTGAGACTGAAGCTCTGCAGAAGTAACTGACGGTCTGAAGAGGAGACAGTCTGCTGATTTTAGCGACTTTGACGGAATCTACGAGAAAAACGTGACGGTGTGCGCGCGTGCACAGGTGAGCGCTGCGGTGTGCGGGTAGGACAGCTCCTCGCGCTCGTGTGTTTGTACCTGCGCGTGTTTAAACATGTGCACACTGTTACGGGACATTCGTCGTGTCATAAAACAGATGCTTTATTTTGTAAACTTTCCAGCTGATGACGCGCGTTGAGGTAAAAGAGTGTGGAGGCTGCAGGGGGGCCGCTGGTGTCCTGGTCTGTGTGAGAAAGCGGAAACCTTACTTGTGTCAAGCCAGCCTCCAGTTTGTTTTTTGTTCCCTGTGTATTCAAAGTATTACGGGAATGGATGTGGAAACCGGATTTCAAAATAAAAGCCAACTTCGAGTCAATTAACAGATATGTTAAAACATAATAACATATAATTTAGGCTTGTTTACAAACTTTAATGTTAGATCTACATGACACATTGTACCCTAATAGCGCCCTGTCAATATCAAGGCCATCTTATTTTGCATTTCAAAGTAAAAGCCCTGTGAATTTTCATTTTTGAACTACTCTTTCAATGAAATGCTCTAAATAGAATAATTCCTGTTTCCACAGGGTAATTTCACCTTAGATCAACAGTATACAACCTCATGATGTTACCATGTCAATTTCAAGTCATTCTGATTTTACCTTCCAAATTAAAAGCCTTTTCAAATTGCCCATATACGACCTACTCTTTTAACGATTTCAGAATGCTCTAAAAATGAAAATTGCTGTTTCCACGGGATAATT